AGGCTCCAGGCTCCGAGCCATCAGCCCAGAGCCCGACGCGGGGCTTGAACTCACGGACTGCAAGATCGTGACCCGGGCTGACGTCGGACGCTTAACCAACTGAGCCACCCAGGCGCCCCCACCAGCTGGTGGTTTTGACACTCCCCACCATCCCCGTCTCCGGATCTTCACCCTCTGCCGACCAAGATCCAGGACGAGGAAGGCTTGTCACTCCCTTCAGGTGTCCACAACTGGCAGGACCCTGAGCTGTTGTCTCAAGCTCTGGAGGGTCCAGTGATAGTGCCCTAGGTTGGCATCAAGGACGACTGGGGCACACCCAAAAAGAACTCGGGTGGGAAAAGGTTAGGATAAAGGATGGTGGGAGCTGGAGAATGAGGGCTGGGGTCAGAGGTCAGCCACAGGCCGCAGGGTGGCTGCCGCTCCCTCCAGAGCCACCACCAAGATGCTGAGCTGCCTCTGCACTTCCGCCCAGGCTGCAGATCCTAGGCTCGTGTTCATGGCCCTGGAGCAGGCATTGGCCAGGCCTGGGAATGTGGCTACGGAGCCTGTGCGGGGTGCCCAGAGCACATGGCTGCAAGCAGATATGGGGGAGACGCAAAGTCACTCAGGGACCAGGAGAGGAGGGAGCTTCAGCCTGGAGGGGCCCCTCTCTGTACAGCTAGGCACAAAAGCGCCTCCCCACCGCCTCTGAAACCTGCGGCCCTCGTCGCAGTGGGGGTGAGAGATGTACGTTATAGCCCCAAGTGATTGATTTGCCTCCCCTCCTTTGAGGCTGATTCCCCACCTGTTTCAAAGGGCTGTCCTGTGCTCTAAAGGCCAGCAGAACTCTGACATCTCTCCGCCCTCAGATGGGTGCCCCTTGCCCGGCCCCCACCGCACAGCACTTCCCAAGAGCCCTGAGCAGGCTCACCTGTAGTATCGTTCGTCTGGGAAGGCTCGCGGGTTTAGGAAGGTCCGTTCCAGCAGCATCAGCTGGTCGTTGAGCATCCGGACCTGCAGGGGGCTGGAAGTGGCAGGACCTTGTCACCCTGGAACCAATAGCCCAGCTGCCAGCCTGCATCCTGCCCCGGAGGCCACCCTCCCAGACACCTGCTTGCTGCCCTTTCTCACTCAGGGGTGTCTTTCTGCAGCGCTGATACGTGTTGGCCCAAGGCCGCGGCTGCCCCTTCAAACTTCTCCACTGCAGTCACCAGAGGCCCTGTGGGCAACAGCCAGCATCTTAGCCCTGGAGGTGCAGGGCTCCCCACACCTCCATGTTAAGGGGGCTCCATACCCAGGCTGATGCTGTGCTGTTCCAACAGGACCCCAAGGTCGCGCTGGGCAGCCTGCAGAAAATTTCGGAGGGTCTCTCCGTAGTCACTGACGTTAAGAGGGAGAAAGAGGCTGTCACTGAGCCTAAGCAGCACGCTCCCTGCTGTCCGGGCCACAGCCTGATGGCTGCTGAAACCTGCAAGGAATGCCATCAGGCCAGGGCTCAGTCTTCAGCCCACCGCCCTCCAGCCTCAGGATTCCCCCTGCCCCCTTCCTCACCAGGGTCCACAAATTTGTCCACGTAACCAAAGGTGTCGAAGGCTGTGTGGTAGGTGGGGTAGATCCTGGCCGAGGTCTTGCTCTAGGGGAACAAGGCCAAGCGACAGGCTTGAGAGGAGAAGCGGGAGAAGGCAAATCAACAGCGAGCTACAACACAGGGACATTATCTTGAATCATCGCCACGGGTATGAGGTAGGTTCTAGAATTCCTACTTTACAGAGGAGGAAACTGAGGCTCAAGAAGTAAAGTCACCTGCCTGACTCCAAACAGCTAAGAGTAGCAGAACCGGGTCAGGTGCCAGTTTCCTATTTCACGTGAGGAAGAGGGCTTGGGAATCAGACAAGAGGGTTCAAATCCCAGCTCTACTGCCCTGCAGCAGTATACCCGTGGATGAGAGAAGTGGCTTCTTAGAACATCAAGCAGGGAGACACAAGCTGGGCACTCCATATCCCTTATCCCATTTTACCCTCACACCAGTGCTATGAATCACCCCTGTTTTATACTGTTACTTAGTCTATTCTGGGGTAAACACTTTTGTCATATTTTAAGATCTCTGGAATCAGGATGCCTCTTTGGTGGTAAGATTTGTTTCTTGGGGCGCCTGGGTGGCTCAGTCAGTTAAGCGTCCAACTTTGGCTCAGGCCATGATCTCGCAGTTCGTGAGTTCAAGCCGAATCTGTGCTGACATCTCGGGGTCCGGAGCCTGCGTCAGATTCTGTGTCTCCCTCTCTCTCTGCCCCTCCCCTGCTCGCACTCTCTCTTAACAATAAATGAACATTTAAACAAATGTTTTTTAAATTGATTTTTAAAAGTAATGTCTACACCCAATGTGGGGCTCAAACTTACAACCCTGAGATCAAGAGTTGCATGCTCCACTGAACCAGCCAGGCGCCCAGGATGCTTTTTTTTTTGAGAGAGAGAGAGCACAAGTCAGGAACAGAGGATTCGAAGCGGGCTCTGAGCTGTCAGGGAGCCTAATGTGGGGCTTGTACTCACAAACCATGAAATCATGACCTGAGCAGAAGTCAGATGCTGAACCTACTGAGCCACCCAGGTGCCCTGCCCCAGGATGCTTCTTAAGTCAATGTCACCCTACAACTAACTGGCAGTGTTGCTTTTTTTCCCCCCTGAATAGTGTACATCACCATATTGCATCTTAAAATCAGTAGTATCTTAAATTTGATAAATTGACAGGTGAGCATAAACATGTTCAGAGAGGTTAAGACACTTGGCTGAGGTAGCACAGCTACTGAGTGGTGGAGCCGGATTCAGTCTGCACTAGAGCAGCTCTAAAAGAGGAAGGGGATTGTGGAGCAAGGTACGGAGCTGGGAGACAGGAGTGCCTGCTCACCCGGTCATAGGTGTAGGCGATGTCCATGGAGGAGATGCCCAGGAAGTGAATGAAGGGTGCGTAGTCGCTGCCAGCACCCAGAGAGCCCAGGCTGTGGAAAGAAAGATGGTCGGGTTGGAGGCCGCTGGGCCAGCCCGCCCTTCCCGGGTCCCTGTCCTGGCCCTGGGCTCACCTGGGAACCAGGCCGTATGCTGTGCTGCTACGGTTGAAATACCGGATCCAGTTGTCGTAGATGCTGAGGCCGTCGAGGCCCGGTGCGGGGATCTGACCCGGAGACGAATCCAGTCTGGAGCTGGCCTCCCCCAAGGCCCAAGAGGCCGTCGTCCTCCGCTCTGCCCACTAGAGTCTCCTTCCTATGCATAGCCCTGGGGCTCCTACAAAGCCTGCCCCCAGCCTCAGTCCCAACGCCAGGACCTTCTAATAAGTACCAGCTCCAGCCCCGCCCACCCCGCCTGGGACAGCCCTCCTCCCGGCCCCACCCCCTTTCACCTGTTTGGCCGCGGAGAAGATGACGCTCTGGACCGGGGGTGTTCCCTGAGCCCTCAAGGTGGCATTGGCTGTGGGAAGATCAGAAAAGCCTCTATTCAGGCCCCAGCCCCTCATTACCCGCCTCCCCCAGCCAGCCCAGCTGCCCCCCGTACCAAACACGGAGATGTCCACGTTGATGTAGGCCACGGTGCGCTCTTGCAGCTTGCTGAAGAATTCCTGAGGGTGGGAGGACCGACGTCAGCTCAGCGGTGCCCTGCCTCGGGAATCCCCTTGACCGCCAGCCTTGCAGGGCTCACTCACCTCGGTGAATTCTGTGGAGCCAATGAGGCCAAACTCCTCTGCCCCCCAGCTCGCAAACACTATTGATCTGCGGGGCCGCCAGGTTCCTGGGGAGGGGGATAAAGGGCTGGAGGACAGGGTCCCCGGATCTTGGGGTCGCTTGGAAATATTGAGAACGTGGAGAGGAGGAAGGGCTGGACGGGGCGGAGCTGCCAGAGACAGGAGGTAGGTCCCAGCTACTCTCCAGCCCAGCCTTCTGGCCCAGGCTCCCTCTGGCTTCCTTTTTCCAGCCCCCCGGCCTGTGCTATGACCCCACCACAAAATTGCCCCCAATACCAATCTCAGGTGGTCCCTTATGCCAGGATGCCCTCCCTCCCCCTTCCTTATAGGCATGCTTTGGGTAGACATCCTGACCCTCGGCCCCTCCAACTGTCTCCTTCAAGCATCCTATGCCAAACTCTTCCGGAACCTTCTCCACTTGGTAATAAGACACTGATGTTCTCCTTAGGGCATTATTCATATTAAGCCAGTCCTCAATGCCTTGAGGGAGGGACTGTTACAATCTCCTTTTCGCAATTGAAACTGAGCCACAGAGAAGTTAAATGACTTGCTCAGGGTTACACAGCTGGTAGGAAGCAGAGCCAGGGTTCAAATCCACAGCCCGGCTCCAGAGTCCAGGGGCTTCACTAGCTGCCCACACTCCCTCTCACTGCCTCTGGCGACCGCGTTTCCATCTCCAATCTCGATGCCACACCGCTCTTGCCAAGAGCCGCAGTCTCCAGCCGCCTCCCAGAAGCCTTAGCAGCCCTCGCTTGCCCCTTACCTCCTCCAGACACCCCCTAACCCTCCACAGATGACACATACCACTACCACACGTGCAATGTGTGATCCTGGATTGGGCCTTGAACCAGAAATTTCTTTTGCTCTAAAGGTCATTATGAGAACAACTGGGACCATTGTTAATTTCCTGATTCTGGTCATTGTATGGTGGTCATGAAGGGAAATGTTCTTGTTTTTAGGAAATACACAGTTTATGGGTAAAAGTCCAGCATTTCTGCAACTTTCAAACACTCCAGAAAACAAAAAGAGAAAGAGAAAACAAGGTAAAAATCCTAATATCAGGAGTATCTGGATGAAGGGTGTCTAAGGCTTCTTTGTACTATGTTGGCAAGTCTTTGCGTAAGCTTGAAATTATTATTTTTTTTAATTTTTTAATGTTTTTATTTATTTTTGAGACAGAGAGAGACAGAGCATGAGCAGGGGAGGGGCAGAGAGAGAAGGAGACCCAGAATCCGAAGCAGGCTCCAGCATCTGAGCCATCAGCCCAGAGCCCGACACGGGGCTCGAACTCACAGACCAAGAGATCATGACCTGACCCGAAGTCGGATGTTCAACCGACTGAGCCACCCAGGCACCCCAGAAATTATTTCAAAATAAAAAACTTGAACAGCAACGACAGAGACAGAAATTCCTGCCCTTGTAACGAAGGGGATAAAGCCACAAGCTCAGCCCCCCTCCACTT